CAAATGCAGAGTTGGCCCTGCCTCTTGCTCTAACAGCCTGTAACAGGAGACACAAACTTTTCTTTGCAGGATTTCACGGTTCTCTCCTTCCAGCATGTACATTCACAGGCCTGAACTCAGGTGGCCAGGCTTGATGGCAAAAGTCTTTAACCACTGAGCCATTTTGCCAACCCCTTTTAATATTCAAGGGTCTGGAGAGATGGCTCAGTGGTTAAGAGCATTTGACTGCTCTTCCAGAGATTCTGAGTTCAAATCCCAGCAACACGAGGTGGCTCATGACCATCTGTAATGGTCCTCCTTCTGCTGTGCATGAAGACTGAGCACTCATGTCCTTAAAATGCATGAATTAATACTCCTTTAAAAAAATAGGATTTAAAAATTATACTGGTTATGAACTCTGACCTGCATGTTACTCCAGAACCCAGATTTTCACATTGCCAGGTTATTTTAGGCACACAGGACAGAATGGGCCACACTTGGCCAGCTTACATGGAATTCAGTTGTATTCAGAATGTGGCGGCCATCCGGACTCCAACAGGAAGCAACCAGCCCTGCAGAGCCCTCGTCGATTTTGCAGTGCCATTCTGGCTGCTCCAGTGACCAGACCTTGATCCAGAAAGAAACACAGGATTGCAAACCGGCTGCACGCACCTCCCTCCGTGAGGGAGAGAGCAGGACCTGGTCACTTCAGGCCTCACTTCTTGGTGACTTTCTCTGCTAATGTCTCCATCACTAGAACCTCACTCATTAGGCTTTGTGAGCACTGAAACACTGCCTTGTAGCGTGTCTTGAAACACTGTGTCTAAACTGCTCCATTGCTATTGATAAATACCTCCCACCCTGGAAAACATATGCTTAAAGACTAACAACACTCTAGTGTGTTTTTTTTTCCCACATCAAAAATATTTATTAGAGAGCATTACATATTTAAACAAAGAAACTTTAGAATTTCATGGGGGGGGGGGGGTTCAAACTTGAAAGGATACAAAAGAAACTATTCTTTTCTAGTTACACCCCTGGGAAAGTTTCCTAATTGTAACTCTGTTACTTACAGTAACAGCACCAGACCAATTACACATGCCATGTGTGCAGACACCCCATCCACACATGGGACACACTTACATGAGCCTTACCTATATGAGGTATGTGTCCTGCCTGCACACACCCCATCTATAAGTGTCACACACACACACACACACACACACACACACAGGGCCCACAGATATGTAGCACCTGTCTGCAGAAGTTCCACTGACACACAGTACACACCTGCACAAGGCCCCGTCTGTACATGGCACACAGAATGAAGAGGGAGTCTGCTGACCACTCTATGTGCTGGATCTGGTCCAGGCATGTATACAGCTGGAGGATCTGAAGGGTCTTCACATCCCGGACCACTAGCCGGTACTGGACACAGGAAGCCTAAAAAACCAGGCAGAAAGCACTCGATAGTATCTGCTCTACAGGGGGAGCTCTCAGAACAACAGTGCTGCCTGGCCACAGTGGCCATCTCCTTCCCTCCTGTCTGATGTGTTTCAGAGCTGTTTGGCTTCACATGGACCAGCAGTTACAGAGCTCATTCCAAAATTAGTTAGAAGAAGATAAAGTTGGAGCACACAGATTTAAAAGTCCTACCACCTAGTTTCATCATTACACACAGTATACATCTGTCAGATTATCAACTGTAACCCCAAGATTTGTGCAAGTAAATTTATTTTTTAAAAATTAGGTTATCAGATGGAGCCAGGTATCCATGTGCATGCCTGTAATCCCAGCAGCAGACCTTTACTCCCAGCAGCAAATCCCTTAGTTTAAGATTACCCTGGTCTGCAGAGTGAGTTCCTGAACGGCCAGAACAAGAAACTCTACCCTGAAACACAGGCTCCCCTTGAGTGTGACGGTACATGCCTGTAATCACAGCACCAGGAGGGGAAGCCTGAGGCCAGCTCTGCATATTATACTATAGTCTAAAAGCCAAGAAGCTGCACTTGCCTCAAAAGCAGGTTTGGATCCCCGGAAGCTACATAGACCTGGGTACACTAGTTTATAATCCCAGCGTTACAGTGGTCAGAGGGGAGGTGGGGACAAGAGCCTGTGGACCAGCCAGCCTGGTGTGTGCAGTGGAGAACAAGAGACCTTGTCTCAGATAAGGTGAAAGTCAAGCAATAATACTCTGGGTTGTCCTCTATCTTCTGTGTGTTGTGGCACCTGAGTACCATTGCACACTAACATAGAGACACATGTGCATGCAGTGCACATGCAGATGTTCTCGAAGAAAGCCTAATTAGTATTCTGTGGGGGTAGGGCACAAAGGCCAAGTGCAGATTAGAAGGACTTCCCACAGGATTTCACTTTATCCTTGGTGAGCTGTGAATTACAAAGTTACCAGTTACAATGAATTCCTTATGAACCATTGAAGACACTGAAACTGGAAACATGGGCCTTCTCTGTTCAGTATGGCAAGACTCCCAAGAAACAATTACCAAGAGCACCACAATACTTTGATGAGTGGGCAAATCCCAAACACAAACAGATAACCAAAAGCTCTATGCTGTTCATTAGAACTTTCAGAACAGTAAAGCAACCCTAATCTGTGGAGACACTTAGAAAAAGGTAAAATGTATCAACTGGTGAAAATGTGGTTAATTCTCTCCTTCCCCTTTTACTGGGTCCCAGAACCCAGAACCCAGAACCCAAGTTGTCAGGCTTGCATAGCAGTGGTAAAATATATCGAGGGAGGGAGGGGGGAGGGAGGGAGGGAAGAAGGGAGGGAGAGAGAGAGCGTGTGTTCTCTCCTTTCCCCTTTACACAGGTTCCAGAACTCAAGTTGTCAGGTTTGCAGAGCTGTATCTTTACCTGCTAACACCATCTCTATCCTGACACTTCCTACTTTCTAATGACACAGAAGGGTAAACTCTGTCTCAAAGGCTTGGATAAATACAGCACAAGTGTGGATTAAGAAACAAGAGGCAGGTGGATCTCTGTGAGTTCCAGGACAGCCAGGGCTACATAGAGAAACCCTGTCTCTAGAAAACAAAACAAACACACAAAGAGATCCAAGATAGCCAGATGGTGGTGGTGGTACCTGCCTTTAATCCCAGCACAGGGGAATCAGAAGAGGACAGATCTCGAGTTTGAGGACAACCTGATCTGCAGAGTTAGTTCCAGGGCAGCCAGGGTTGTATAGAGAAACCTTGTCTTGAAAAATAAGTTTTTAAAAAGGTACATGTCTGTTAAAAGAAGATAGATGCATAAAAGGAAGCTCACTAAAAATTATGATTACAGTTGTTTGTGGGAAGGGTCCTCACTAGCTATGGCTTATGTCGAGGTTAGAGGACAGTTCTCCCTTTCCTATACGTGGGTCCTGGAGATGGGACTCAGGTCATCAGGTTTAGTGGCAGGAACCTTTCCCGGCCAAGCTACCCCACTGGCCCAGAACCATAGTTTTTTGTTGTTGTTGTTGTTGGTTTTTTTTTAATAAGACATGAGCCCTTTTCCTGATGACTTCCTAATGTCGAGCCTCTGCCTTCTAAGTGCACAATGGTCATACTGGTGTATTTTGAACTCTGTCCTGTCACCCATTGAATGGACAGCTAACATCCAACACTGGGACTCAGAAAGACAGTTACTTAAATAACTGCATGCGATGGAGGGAAAGAGGTGGTGAGGGCCACAAATGAGGGCACCATTTAACCAGCTTACAAGCGAGAAAGCATAAACCATTGCCGTTTGTGACAAAATAACAAACAATGAGCCGGCATCCCCTGTGCCCTCCAACGTGTGAAAGCAGCAGCATCACCTTACCCAACTCTGATAAAGGGAAACTGGAGCAGGGGGGAAGCTGGCATCCGCCCAGCCCCGGCCACCTGCTCCAGGTCCCTTCCTCCCCTACCCTGACCACCTGCCAGAGGTATCAACCTACCCGCAACTCCATCCCTGCCCTGCCCAGGCCACCCGCTCCACGCATGGTCACCGGCCAGGATCCCCCTAGTCCCGCCGGGGTTCTTCTCCTGCTTCGGGTCCCTTTTCTCTTCCCCGATCGTCTACCTAATTCCCCCACATCCGGCCCAAAACTCCTCTGCCTGGTTCCCCACCACCACCACCACCATCACTCCTGCCAGGCTCGAGTCCCCCTGGCCGCCCCCCTCGTCCCGCTCGGGCCCCCTTCCCGCCCCCCTTCGACCCGCCCCGGGCCCCCGGCACAAGTCGCGCGCCCACGCATGGGTTCTGCCCCGCGCACTGCGGCTCACCAGGTACTTGCCGTCCGGGGAGAACCTGCAAAGCAGGCCCGAAAGTTTGAATGACTCGGAGAAGTTCATGGCCATGGCCAGCCCGGGCCAGAACCGCCCTGAGGCACCGCCCGCAACCGCCGCGGGCCGCTGCCGGAAGTACAGAGGCGGAAGCGAGCCGTAGCCAATGGGAGCCCCGAGAGGCCGCGCGGCATTGTGGGGCGGGGAGTCCGAGCTCGTGCCTTAAAGGCGCCGAGCGCGCTTCTGCGCCACAGAGGCTCTCCGCGCAAGCCGCAGGGACTTGGCACGGCTAAATTCTGACTTCAGATTAAGTCACAGTATAAATATGTTACCAGACGTTGCATGGGACAAACTTAGGCTGAAAAACCTCCCTCGTCTGAAATTTAGGTTTTTAACTAGACGTTTGTGCTTGTAAACTACATTTATTGACATGTAAATACATATTTATTGTAAGTATGTAGTCGTATGCAGGTCCACCTATTTAGTATGGAACAAAGTTTCTGTTGCCTGGGCTACGGGCGCGGCACAGATGGCAGAGAGTTTGCTTAGCTTATATGGAACCCTGGTTTCGATCCCCAACCCCTGCATAAACCCGGCACGATGAAGCTCACCTTTAATCCCAGACCTGAAGGCAGAGGCAGCGACCGATCAAGGTCATTATCCTCCGTTAACTATAAAGTTTGAGGCCATCTTGGGTCTCGTGAGACCCTTTCTCAGATAAATAAATAAATAAATAAATAAAGCAAAGCATAGTATCTATTACAATTTATTTTCTATGTAGTGTAGAAGTATACATATAGGTTTGCTTTGAGGTTTCGTTGAGAGAGAGCGACCACCTGCAGCGTGACCTCGAGCTGCTCAGGTGCTGCTCGAAACGAAATCGTAGGCATGTGTATCAGCTCGCCTTCCTGGAGGTCCTGTGTTCGAGTGTGAACTTAGTCGTCCTTGGTTCACCCGGGATGGCAGTCCCGCCAGACATCTGCGGGATAGGGCACCAACTGGACTTCAGACCGCGCTGGCTCCCCCAAAGTGCCCGTTCCTTACCCACGCGGCACCCCAAGTCCTCTGCCCTACAGGGCTCCCCCTCCCCCTCTCATTCAGGAGGTTGGTTGTTCTGTCTGCACCCAGCGCCCCCGCGCATCACTATATCGCTGTCGAATTCTGAAAGCAGAACAGGACCTGGTGTGGTTTGGTCCAGTTCATAGCTCCCAACCTCTGCATCTAACTTCCGATACTGAAACGAATGGGGGTACTTGCACCGTCCGGAAAGAACTTGGAGAGGGCGCGGTGTGCTGGGCTTTCCTCTTCCCAACCAGTCCCAAAGTCTTGCTTGGTGTTCCATCTTTGTCCCCAACCTGCACCAAGCAATCGGCCTGGTTCGTGGTCAGGCTTCCGAGTGAGAGGGGGAATCAGTCTGCACCAGCCCGCCTCTCTCGCAGAGCCGCTGGCGGCGACGCTGGCGCAGCTTTGAGGGCTGTGGGAACATCTCGGGCAAGGACCACTCTGCAGAGCCTCTGAGGGGTCCCATACCGACGCTAGGTAGTGCACACCTGGTGCCCGAAAGCCGACTACGAACTCGAACTCGTTCTGTGTGTTGAGTCTGTCCCGAGGGCCTGGGTGCAGAGATGAGGGAAGAAGGCTCGACCGCTCGCAGCTCGCTTGCCCACCGTACTGCAGTAGACATCTCGAGCCAGAGATGAGCCCCCCTCTGCCTAACCCCAAGCCGCTCTGTAGGAGCAGTTTGTGGGCATCCGTTGGGCATCGCCTACCTCACTAACACCCACGTGCATTTTCGACCAAGAAGAGACTGACACCCAAGGCTAGGAAACCCGGACAGATCGGGAGGGAGTAGGGTGCAGCCGGTGGCCCCCCGGGGTGTACCGGTCCAGGAGGCGCAGCCTCTGACTGTAGTTTGAGGAGTCGAACCCAAGGTGGTCTGCACTGAATACTCGTTCCAGGCGTGCTGTGGTCTCCATCAGGCAAATCGAGAGGGCTTCGAACTTTTCTCCTAGGAGCCCCGCTGGTGCTTGTCGGTTGACAACGGTTCTCCTCCAGGGCCTTCAGTCTTCGGGCTCCATCCCTCCTCCAGGCTTACTCCAGCCAGGGCTAACTCCGGAGGAGGCGCAGCTACCTCACCGAGGGCACCCCGAACCCCTGGGTTGCAGACGCAGGGCAGTAGGGGCAGCGAGGGGGATCGGGAGAGATGGGCGTCTGGGGGAGAAGACAGAGGAGAGAGTCTGAGGGAGTCCAGGGCTTCGAGTGCCGAGTCTGCACCTGTGTCCAACCCCTCGGCGCCTGCGCACCCTTCCTGGCGCCCCGAGCCCCGCCAAAGGTCGCAGTCCGGTCCCGCTCCGCCGAGGGCTCCGGCTACTAGCGCACAGCCCGGCAGGGAGACCCCGCTGGGGTTCCGCTGGGCGTCGCGCGCCAAGCGGTGGCGGGAAGGAGGCGGGAGGAGTGGAGCCTGGACCCCGACTCGGGCAGAGCCAGCTGGAGAGGCGGAGCGCGCGTGGGAGCCCGGGGCCCGGGTGGCCGGCCCTCCTCCCGCCACGGCTGAGTGCCCGCGCTGCCTTCCCGCCGGTCTGCTGCGAAAGGCGCTAAGCCCGCGGCAGTCCCTTTGCCGCCGCCTCCCCGCCGGGCGCCAATATAACCCGCCGTCCCGCAGCCCGCCCCGCAGCCCAGAGAGGAGGCAGCGGTGCAGCCCAGTCCTCTGCGACGCCGACGCCGGGCCAGCCCCAGGTAGGCAGCGCTGGGACCGGTGTAAGCGGCAGGGATCCCTCACGCGGCTCTGAAACTGGGGTTGGGGTGAGCGGCAAGCCGGGGTGCTAGCCGTGGCAACCGCCCCAGGGACCTCGCATCTGTGGCAGGAGGAGCTGGAGTGGGGCTACTAGTAGACCCAGTTGGTGCTTCGGCAACCCATGGGCCTGTCTCCTGCCCACCCTGTCCACCACAGGTAGATCACCATCCCCAGAGATGCTAAGGCTTAGGTCTGGTGCTAGTGGAAATTGGGAGGTACATGGGTATCCTATCCTGCAAGGAATGCAAAATCTGAGGGCCTTTCAATTCTTGCCATGGAAGCAGACTAAGAGAGAGCAGAGCCAGCTAGGGCCAATCTAAGCTGGTTCCGAGATACGGGTTACCTGGGGTTTTGCTGCTGGTCCTGCGTTAAGTTTACTATAGTGCCTCACCTGCCTGGCTAGTCTTTCAGGTAGAGAATCCAGGCTGCCCGCGCTCGATCTCTTCTGTTCCGGATCAGCTCAAGTCCTTCGGAACTGGGCAACTTAGTTATGACCTTCTCACTCTTAAGATGTGAGCGCATCTGTAGGCGCCTGTCCATGTACTTGCGGAGGTGGAAGGGGGGACAGTCAGGAAAATACTGCTGACTTCTGACCCCCAGGACACTTGGTTCCCTATGTGTGCTGCGGTGGTCTGTTTATTAATTAGGTGGGCACTTGGGACCTGGGTTGCGGCAATATTTGGGGAAGGTCGTATTGTTCTTGTTGTTTTTCTTCACTTAAAAATTTAATTGTGTGTGTGTGTTTGAGCCTCAGTACACTCACTGGTCAGAGGATGGCTTCTGAAATCAATTTCCCCTTTCCATCGGTTTTGGGGATTTAACTCAAGCATCCAGGCTAGGCAGCAGACACCTTTAGTTACTTGTGAGCCTCGCTGCTCCTGTTTGGTTTTTGTGGTTGTTGACTTCGTTGTGTTTTGCTGATGATTAGCTTTGGGAGAAAATCAACAGAGACAAAATGCATCACAAATTCTTGGTGTGTTGAAAACGTCAACCCTCCCCCCCCCCAAAAATAAAAACCTCCATCCTCTGAATTATTCAGTGAAAACAAATTATAACATTTCTTTGTGGACAAAAGGGAAGTGTTTGAAATGTTGTCATCCATGAATGTATGGATTGTATAAGCAATTTTAAAAATAAGATAAGCAGTTTTGAAGATGTTGCATTCCCACCAGTCTGGTGGGCTTGGGCTACTGGTGAGCCTAAGTAGAAGACTGTCTATCCCACACAGGTACCTGTGGGATGCTGAGCAATATGGTTCTTCTGGTGAAAACTCTGTGGAACAGGCATGCCTGTCTATTCTGATGGGCACCCCATTTGAAAACAGTCTGGGGCAAGTTACTTAACCCTTGGGAACCTCGGTTTACCATTGCAAAACAGTCAGAGCAGTGCCTTTCTCAGAAGGTTTGAAGAAAAGTAGCCAAGGTGCTCTAGCCAACATGCTTGGAAGAATGCTGATATCCACCGAGCAGTCCCCCCCCAAATGTGATGGCCTTTGGTCCTAGATTTTGACTCTAGCCCCAGGGAGAGGGCCAGTTCCCAGGTTTTGGAGAGATGGTGGCAGAAAAGCAGGAATCGGCCTCTGAGCTGGGTGCAGGCTGGTGGCATCTGTCAAGAGTAGGTCTGGTGGTAAAGATGCTTCTGTGTTACATTTATTTATAGAGCATGCCCAACCCAGGTTCTGGAATGGGCTTCCAATGCTGACACATTCAAAGGAGCACAGCCAAAGTGGAGATGGAGAGGGGAGACTGGAGAGAGCTTCAAGGAGGCCTGGCTTGCATCCAGGGTTGTACTAACCCCAACATTCCTACAACTCCAAAGTAAAACCAATTTTTTTGTCATTGTCTTTAATACAGCTGCATGTCCATTTCAGTGGGAGACAGTTTCTGTCACCAAACTCAAGGACAATTTACTGCCCAGAAGCAAACACAAATGACTGTGTACGTGGTGAATGGTGTTCATAAAAAAGAAAAAAAATCAGAGAAACCCTCAAAATCCCTCTTGTGTGTTCCTTCTAACACTCCAGCATTTGGAGGTGGCCTTTAGTTTCCAGTTCATGTAAGACTAAGCTGGTATTTTGAAACATTATCAATACCGAATTCTACTTCAGCCTCAAAGAAACTGTGATGAGTAATTCTGTGACAGAAACTCCTGAAGCCCAGATCGCTCAACCTTGTTTCTGTCTGAATATGCAGCAAGAAGTTTAACAGATACATTTTGTGATCTACAGACAACTTGGAGCCAGGCAAGGTCCTCTTGCTGCCTTCCACCCTGCAGAGCAACCTTGTAGCCTATCTGCCTTTGCAGACACTTTCTCTTTAAAAGAGTGCTTTTTTCCTGAACTTGCTGCTCCACAGGGGAGGACCAAAGAAGAAAGAATCGCTTAGCAAAAGTACTGCTTATGAAGTAGCTGCAGGAATTAGCGCCTAGTGCATAATGGCTGTGTTCTGGTATTAGGCTAAATAAGTTCGGATTTTGCTTTTGCCTGTAATTCTCCAACATCCCCCTTTCATAGGTACTGCCATTGTGCCCATTTACAGTTGAGGCATAAGAGGCTTTAGTGTGTAATTCAAGGGGCCTGGAGTTACATGTCTTCATACTGCAGGAGCTGAGATCCCAGATCTGATAGGCAGCGGGATAGGGGCTTCTGGGTTTTTCTCTCCACTGCAGCTGGTGTTGGCCAAGAAACCTAGTAAATGTAAGACAGAGCCACCTCAGTACCCTGCGTGGAGCTCTCTGTTGGAAAGGACTCCTTGAACCTACGTGACTAGGATTAGGAGTGATGTGAACCCAACCCCGTCTTCTCCAGTTATGAATGTATAAACCAACCACATTTTTACAGCCCATGGGATTGTTCCCATTCCAATGACTGATATTTTTACTGTCTGTCTCTGCTCCCTAGTGCTAGGATTGCAGGCATTTGTTGACATGCCTGTTTTTTGTTGTTTAATGTGGTTTTTTTTTTTTTGCTGTTGATGTTGTTCTTCTCTCTCTCTCCCTCCCTCCCTCCCTCCCTCCCTCCCTCTCTTTCTCCCTATGCCCCCTCTCCCTACCCTCCCCCTCCCTAAAATATGTTTTGTGTGGGATCTGGGCATCTGAGCTCAGGTTCTCACAGTTTGCCAGATGAGCCATCTCCCGTTCACCCCATATCCACAAAGGTAATCACAATAAACTAGTGTTGTTCTCAGAAACATTCCTGGTCTTGTTGAGCTTGCCCCTGTGTATTTGCTTAGGTGCTGTGTACTAAATCCATGTAAGTCGCATACAGTCCCAGGGCAGACCTCAGAAACCTGTGCTGGGGGCCAAGCCGAGTCAGTGTCCCACCATCAGGGTCCAGCTGCAGAACTTCTCCTCCAAATATCCTTAAGGATGATGCCCCCCCAGGGAGTAACAGTCCTTATCTAAAGCCAGGTACTCTCTCTCTCTCTCTCTCTCTCTCTCTCTCTCTCTCTCTCCTCTCTCTCTGTCACCTCTATGGAAACAAGCATCTCTATACCACATACAGGCAAAGCATTTATACACCCAAAATAAAAATTATACACCTAAAATAAATCCTTTTTGTCTTTTTTTTTAAAGAAAAGAGCTGGGTGTTGGTGGCACACACCTTTAATCCCAGCACTGGTGAGGCAGAGGCAGGCGGATCTCTGTGAGTTCGAGACCAGCCTGGTCTACAAGAGTTAGTTCTAGGACAGCCTCCAAAAGCCACAGGGAAACCCTGTCTTGAAAAAACCAAAAAGGTAAAGGTGTCAGATGCCCTGGAACTTGAGCTACAGCATGTGGGTGCTGGGAATTGAACCTGGGTCCTCTAGAACAGCACCCAGTGCTCTTAACCACTGAGCCAAATTTCCAGTCCTGTCTCTATTATCTCTTCCCCTCTTTCTATATCAATGTAAGTTTGTTTTTCCTTCCTCCCCTTCCCAGCCTGTCTTCCAGCCCTTTCTCCTTCCCCCATCCCAGCCCCTGTCCTTCCCCCTCCTCCCTCCCTCCCTCCCTCCCTCCCTCCTATTTTCTTCCTTCTGTTGCTATTTCTTTTGAACTAACCCTCAAACTAAATGAGTTCTTTCCCTCAAACCTCTGACTTTCCTCACCACAAGATGTCCCTGCATCGTCCCTTACAGAGGAGGTTCTCTTGCAGTTTCCATTGGTCTTAAATATACACACTAAAGAATTTTAGCTCTCCGTAATTCCATCCTCCAGAAGAAAACACAGAGGTAAACAACAGTGAGGTTTCACACCAGTATTCTACTCATGGATGGCAAATGTGGGACTGTCCGTGTAAGCATTTCTTTAAGGCAACCTTGTACATTTTTCTGGAGTGGCACATATAGGCAGCCTGTCAGTTTCCAAATAACTGACATGGAGACATATATTAATTGTAAATGCTCGGCCTTTAGCTCAGGCTTGTTACTAGCTAACTCTTGCATTTAAACCAACCCATATTTCTTATCTACCCTTTGCCCTGTGGCTCATGGCTTAGTACCTCGTTTTCTACGTGTCCTGCTTCCTCTGCATCTGCTGGCATCTCCTGAGACCCCACCCTTCTTCTTTCCAGCATCCTTAGTTTGCTTGTCCTGCTTATACTTCCTATCTGACTACCGGCCAGTCAGCTTTTT